GGATAGAGAAAAAGAGCTCCTGTGCTTAAGATAAGCAGTGACCTGGCAGACTCCTGACTGGGTGTCACCATCTGGGTGCCTTGGTTTTTGGTGTATCTGGAAACACTTGCAAGGGAAGGTCTTCCCTGAAGAGTCTGTTCTGGCATTGGCACCTGCTCCACCCTGGGTCTGTCTGATCACAACCTACTTGTCCATCCTCCTGTCACGCTGCCTTGTGCCTCTCCAGAGGAATGGAACCCTTTCCCATGGATAAAATTGCTGGAGATTCTCAGCACAACCTCTCAAAGGCAGAATTCTGGATGCTGCTCTTTGCCACATTTAAGATCAAAACACCCATCCACGGGTTTGGATGTGGATGGTCTGGATTTATCTGGGCAAGAGCCACAGTTGTTTTGCTGTAAAAATAGGGGAGAAGTTAAATTCCTAAACTAAGGAGAGTCGAGCTTGTTGGTTTATTACCAATTTGGTGCAAATTATTACCAATTTGGATGCATTTGGGGGCAAAGTAAACCTACAAAGGGATGGGGCGAGGGAAAGATGGTAAATCCCGCTGTTCTGTACATATACTGGGAGCCAGGTGGAAGTTAATAGCTGGAAGGAGGGATTTTGGAAATGGGGTTCCTGGAGTCGCTGGGAGATGAGGGAGGGGATGGCAGCAGACAGGACAGGAAGTGACTAAAATACTGTGGTGTGTGTTGGTTTCACTCTGTAAATACACGAGGCTCTCTCAGCGAAAGGACGGCTTGTTCTTTTTTTTTTTTCAAATGTGACCTTGGACTCGTTCTTCTCTCAAAAAAAAAAATCCACAGGAGAGAGGTTTCCTGGCTCTCTTCAGCTGATGTCTGATCCTTTGCTGTTAGAAAGGGCTGTGCTCCATGGAAAGAGGTTTCCAAAGAAGTGTTTTGAAGAGTATCACTGTGGAGCTACGTGAGACACTTTCCTTGGGAGAAGGAGACTGCAGGTGAAAGGATCAGAATAGAAGGAATAGCTGTCTGCAGGATTAATATTAGTGCTTCCTATTTCCTACATTAATTGAGTGGCACCCAGGAGGGCCAGCTGTCTTAGTTGGGAATTGCTGGCTGCTCAGTCTTGGAGGATGGATAAACTGCCTTTATCTTGACCCTGCCTGACACAGGGAGAAAGGGTTTGGACCACTTGTAAGTTCTTCCTTAGGAACAGGAAGGGTGAAGAACTCTCAGCAGGGTGAAAAATGCCTGAATCCTAGCAGAAAGCTGGAAAAAAAGGGATATTAAAATATTGCTGCTGAACACTGATGTATGTAATGGGCCTGACTCGATCTCTTGCTTCACTGGAGCTGAGCTTCACCTGGGACACTTTTAGAGAGGGCAGTGTTGGGGGTGTCTGCTGATCTTCTTTTTGGAAGTTGTGCATCCCTGGCTGAACTGGTTGACACTGGAAGAGCTCCCAGTAGCAGAGCCACCCCCAGGAAGAAGTGGTCTTATTCTAAGAGCCCAGGGCTGGGAGTTGCTTGTGTTCTCTGGTGAGACCTGCCTGGATGGGCTTGCTCCAAGGAGCAGGAATAAGAATTAGGAGGGCTGTAGGAATCTGCTAGGAAGGGGTACTCAGCCAAGCCCCATCCCTGGCAAAGGCTGTGAGGCAAAGGTAGCTGGCCCTTCCTGGGAAGAGGTCATACTCAGTGCTGCCTGGAGGATTTGCACAGCTGAGTGTGTGCAGGGGGAAGGTGAGATGGGCATTAACCTGTCGTGGCTTTGCAGGTGTCACCTGTAGCAGTTATTTAACCAGGCAGCAATTCCCTGCGTGCCAGGGGAGGATCAAAACACATCAGGGAGGAAAGGGGATCTCGGAGCATCCACTGGCCACATCCGTCCTCATACAGAGACCCAATTTGGGCAGCTGGGGGATCATGGTTTGTGTAATTGTGCTGCGAGGGAGCTGTAGACTCCAGGAGGGGAAAACTGCAGATGCTGCCTCTCCCAAAAAGCACTCTTGGAAGCACAGAAGCCTTTCCTTCCTCCTGCCTGCTCTGCGGGCCCTGAAATGTTGTTTTGCCCCACCCTTCCAAGACAACAATGACATGAAAGCGCTGTGGCCCCGGCCGGGTAGGATGGGATGGGAGCTGTTGGTATTGTGCTTTTGGGTCCTCAGCCACGGCTGGGATCCTGCTGGTCCTACATGCTGTGCCAATTAGGAGGCCAAACTCTTCCCTGCCCACGGGAACAGGCAGAGCTGGGGGAGTTTTGTGGCTGATGCTTTGCTGATGACAAGAGCAATAGACTTTGGAATTTGCTGGGCTGGAGGAGACAATCCCCATCCTTCTGTGTTTTGCATCCCTGTTTCCCCATTGCAAAGGAGTTGGAGTTTAAGGTGTTCCTGCCTGTTTTCTGGTGTTTGCTCTTTTGGTGTGGTTGCCTTATCGTAGTGGTTTGGGTTGAAGGTTCCAGCCTGTTTGTCTTGGAGGCTGTGCTGTGAAAGAGGTCTGGGAAAAGAGTCTGAATGGTTCCCTGATCCCACAGCGCAGATCCAGGGGTGGATCCAGCTGGAGTGAAGTGTAGTTTCGTTGTAATGTGAGTCCACAGCAGGCTGGTCTGGTGGAGTGGCCTCCTCTGAGACACATCGTGCTTGTTTGGCCATAAAGCCTCCAGATATGTCAGTGAGGGACCAGGTCATTTACTGCACCTTCACAGAAGGTGGGAGCGGGATCTGTCCTCAAACTTTGTGCTCAGGATTAGCCAAGACAGAGCGATCTCGTGGTCCAGATGCCAAACTGGAGTGACTGGGTGCTAAAGCTGGAGTGTGTAGATGGGAAGGGAGCAGGAGCTCCTTTTCATGGCATCTCCAGCATCCGCCTGTGACACCAGTGGGATTGGGATTAGGCCCAGCCACATGGTCACACTGCTGTTGAGTTAGCTGCTCTACACAATCCAGAGCCTGTGCTGGCTTGGTGCCGCTTCCAGCAGGACAGACAATGCCTGGTCATTGTGTCTGTGCCTGGAGCTGTGTTCCAGCCCAGGTTTCCTGAGACATGTGCTCAAATGGGACTTACCTGAGTTTTAGCCCAATGTAACCTTGCTCCTAGTTAAGCTGCACTTAACCAGGAGCCCTGAAATACCATCCAGATTTCCAGCCTGGGAGCCAAATGTAAGTTATTAAGGGACTGATTTGGATGTAGTCTCTTTTTGCCAGAATTCCATGCCAAACCTTACCCCCCCTCGTGAGGTTTTGTACCCAGTGAAGGCAGAAGAGCTGCTTTTCCCCCTAAAAGTGAGTGTGTGGGATAAAGGAGCAACCTGGTCCTGCAGTGAGCCACCCCCACCTGATCCCAAAGCAGGTGAGACCGCAGACTACAGGGCCCAGAATCCTCTGCTTCTTTGTGCACATCCTCTAGTTAGTGACAGAGAGGTGCCTGCTGGGACCTGTAGTCCCAGGCTTGCCTGGGATTGGGAAAAGGGAAAAGCTAGTCCTGCTCTGTGTCCTCATTTTAAAGCTGAGCAGCGCGCAGGGTTAACGGATTGTGTGATTTCTGAGGAAAAGTGCTTTGTAAGGTGGGCTCATCCTCTGATACAACACAGCCATAAAACTTCTACATCTCTAAGTGCTCTGATGCATGTCCTTTGAAGGGCCAGTCAGTTTAGAAGCAGAGTGGGCATTTGGGGATTCCAGGTTTTGGTGTTTTGTTTTTTTTTTTTTTATAAATGCATTTTTCTGCGTTTATACAAGTGTCTCTCTAAAAACCTGTGATTAAAGAGAGTTTTATCTTTGTATTATTAGAAACTGGAAAAGAAAGTACCCCCATTTGCTCTCCATCTTTAGTGGATGGCTTAAGACAAAGGAGAGCAAACCCAGCCCTTTTCTAGACCCTTGTTTCAGGATCTTCCTGAAGTACCCCATTCAGGAGAAGCCTGGCAGATAAGCTGTTTGTGCCCCTGTCGTTTAAGTTTTTGGGGAGGGAGTTGGAAAGCTGAGTGCAGTCAACGAGGTGTTAACAACAGATAAATGGCTCTGCCTTAATGGCTGCTTAAAACTGTGAGTTAAAATTAAATATTACAGTGGGTGGGGGCAAAGCCCTTTTTTTAATGTCCCTACTGCTCCTGCACTGTTAAACTAATTAAATTGTAAGAATTTCCTTAAGGCAGTGCATGTGTACGACGGAGTCCTTTTCTTTGTCGTGGCTGGTTCCAGTGGCGTTGCTGAGGCTGTGACACTGCCACAGATGTGACAGCATCTGTGTCACCTCCTGTCCCATCCTTGCTCTCTCCTGGGCCAACAGTTGGTGTGCACGCTTGATATGGAGCATCCCTAATTGGGGGAATTAAATTAGCTTGGCTAATTCAGAGCAGGTTGCCTTTTATCTGGGGGGATTTGGGGAGCATTCCCACGCAGGGCTCTGCCAGAGCATGGCTGCTCCCTGGCCAAGTGGCCAACAGCTGGGGACAGTAATTTTTTCCAGATCCAGCAATGCCAGAAGAGGATGTCTGTCAGGAATCCCCACGCAGATGGACTTAGGAGACCCTGTAAGAAAAGGGTTCCTTCCCTTCTGCTACTCCTCCCCACACAAACAAGGGAATAAATCACCTTTTGTGTGCAGGCCTGGCCAAAGATAAACACTTGAGAGTTTTGTCTCCGGTATAAACCTTCCTTTATCACTTGATGTTCTGGCAGACATTTAAATTCACAAAGAGTCTTTACCTCTAGTGCAGCAAAATACTGATGCACCTGTAAAAAAGAGGAACTGATTCTTTTTTACTTTGCCTTAGTTATGCTGAACTCTCTCCCCTCCTCCTATATTTCTGTGTTAGAATTCATCAGGAGTGATCCTCTCTCTCCCATATAGCCCAACTTGCACAAATCGGGGTGCAGGAGGAGCAAATCTGATGTTCCAGTGGTGTGTTTGGGGTGCAGGACAGACCTGGGCTCCCCCAGCGGCCCTGGCTGAGCTGTGCTGGGTTGGGATGAGGCTCTGGCTGTTCCCCCTGGTCCGTAACTCTTCCCTCACTCCCCGAGGTGTGTTCTCCCCTCAGCGTGGCACCATGAGGCGGCGCTACGAGGACGATGGCATCTCCGACGACGAAATCGAAGGGAAGAGGACATTTGACCTCGAGGAAAAGCTGTCCACCAACAAGTTCAACTCCACCTTCGTGGTCTTCATGGAAGGCAAAGGTTTGTGTGGGGGCTGGCAGTCAGTGAGCAGGGCTGGTGCCAGGCAGGGTGTGTGGGGGAATGGCGTGGCAGCTGTTTGATCTGGAGAGCAGGGAGCTGGTGTGCAGCGCTGCAGCTTGGCTGGGACACGTGGAAGCCAGGAGTGGAAGGGCTCTCTCTCCTGGGTCAGCACCTGTAATTGCAGCCACATGTCTACGAGATGTTTAATTCAAGGACTGTGTGGGATCTCTCCCCTTCCTTTCACCGCACACACAGCTCAGTGGGATGGCTTTTCATCACACAACCTTGGGAGGGTTTCCTGGAGGAAGGAGCGCTTCTTCAAGGCATCTCTTGCTTGACTGTGAGCTTTCTAGGAAACTGAGGACAAAAATTCAGGCTGTTTTCCCTGTTAGAGCAAACTTCAACTTCCCTGGGGGGGCCTATCTGAGGCTTGTCAGTACCACATGCCATGTTGCTCCCAGAACTGCTGCAAAGGAGTTCCAGGATCTCCAAAGGAGTGTAAAAAGTGATGAAAAGGGGTTTTTTTTGCTGACCACAGAGACAGGAGGAGGTTCTCGGGTCTCAACTGCCCTGAGTGACCTGATCTGAGTCAGAAGTCAGTTTGCTGGGAGCAGGGTTGGACTAGAGATCTCCAGAGATCCTTTAACGTCAGTGTATCCTCGGAAGGAGCCTCCCCTAAACCTCCCCTCCTCTTGTCTCCCCACACCAGACTTCACAGTTGAGTACATCCAGCGGGGTGGCCTGAGGGACCCTCTCATCTTCAGGAGCTCGGACGGCCTGGGGATAAAGTAAGTGTTGGGGGCACGGAGTGGGGGGGGGACTCTGGCCCAATTCCTTCATTTCTCCACGTTGCGTGGGATCTGATCCTGGCTCTGCCAAGTCGGCATGACTGTGTCCTGTCCACACTGTCCTTTACATGCAGTGAGCAGAGAGAAATATCTCCCACCTCAGTTATCCCCCTCTTATTAGTCAGTTTGGACTGAAAATCAGAGTACTGAATTGGCTGTAGGTGATCAGAATTCCACCAAATGTCTGGAAAGTCCCACTGCTGCTCTGATGCAACGTCTGGCTGGGTTTCTTTCCTAGTAACATAGGCATCTATTGCCAGAGACTCAAACAATTTGTAGTATTTCTGGCATTTTCCAGAATTCCAGCCTGCTTTATCCAACTTCTAAACTGCTCTGTGTCTCTCTTGCTGCAGTACATTCACTGAGATTTACAGCTTTGAGTGTAAAGCTGGGTCAGTGTTTTTTGGGAGTTGATTAATACAATGATTAGAGAATAAATGACCCCTCACAAACTCTCTGAGCCAGTATCAGCAGCACTGCTCTGAACCCCCCCTCAGCTGGCTGAATGGGTGGGTGACATCTCATCCAGTGCAGGATGTTCTGTACTGGGGGGTGAATTAGGTGGGAAATTGTGCCAGGCTCAGTTTTAACTGCTGGGTGACTTGGGAGGTCAGAGATTTGATACTGAGGATTAGAGTGTGGCTGAAACTGGATTTCTCCTGAGCTTTTGGGTATTTCTCTGGGTCAAGAGCTGCTCGAATGGCTGCCAGGCTGTTCTGCCAGTGACAGCAGTGTTTGTACAGAGGAGTGTGCCAGTACAAACAGTTGGAGGGGTTCTGCTGTGTCAGTGGAATATACTGCGTGTGCTGGTCTGGCTATGCCTTTGGGTTGGGATAACTCACACGAGCAGCCTTTAAAGCGAGGCCTGGGATTGCTGAGCTCCTCTGCCAGGAGTCACTGTACAGCAACTCGTGCTGTGGAGCTGGTACATCCTATTCCCAAATCTGCCTCCCGAGCCACAAGTTTGTCCTGATGTTTCACCCCAGATCTAATGCCACGGTCTGCACACAGCCCAGAGCAGCCCCCTCAGGGTGTAACACTTGGGTTGCAGGTGGGGAGGGTGTGTGCCAGAAGCACAGGATGGTTTCTGAGCGGGGTGTTTGTCCTGCAGGATGCCGGATCCGGACTTCAGCGTGAACGATGTGCGGCTGTGTGTCGGTAAGCGTCACTTCCTGCAGCCAGGGGGGAATGGGGAGACTCTTTGGGTTTAAGCTGAGGTTTGGTGGCTCCCCAGAGTGCAGCTGTTTGAACCTGAGCTGTCCTTACCCAGGGATCACCTTCTTGGATCTAATTTGACCTAACACAGCTTCTGTTTGCACGTGGGTGTGGAAGTTCTGGGAGACTCCAAGGCAGCACGCTTGTGTGGGTGGGCTCTCTGAGGATCTCATCTCCTGGAGTGCTCTGGGTGGTGCGTTGTGCAGTGATGTGTGTGTGTGTGTGGTGGCAGGGAGCCGACGGATGGTGGATGTGATGGACGTGAACACGCAGCGGGACATCGAGATGTCCATGGCGCAGTGGGCGCGGTACTACGAAACGCCAGAGGAGGAGAGGGAGAAGCTCTACAATGTCATCAGCCTGGAGTTCAGCCACACCAAGCTGGAGAACCTGGTGCAGAGACCTGCCACGGTGAGCGTGGCTCTTCCTTCCCCAAGGGGATGTCCCTTCCCTCGTCCTCTTGGCGCTGGAATGGGGGGGGAGAGGGCCTACTTGGAACAGGCATGGGCTCAGCAGGGATAATATTGGAAGCTGCTGGAGCTGATCTTCCAGTCAGGCTGTGCTGACCGTGACCATTGCGTGTTACTCTGTAGAGAGATGACCTGTTCCTTACCTGTCAGCAATTGGAAACATGGAAGTGGAACTCCAGAGGATTGTGCAGTGTAGAAGGGAGGGTTTCTGATGCCAGGTGCCAAGAAGTCTCTGAGGGCAGATAAGGCCAGGATTGGAGATGTGCTGGAAGAGGGGACAGGAAGCTGTTTTGTGGTGGGAAAACAAGTTGCTCTTACTGAAGAGCGGAAGGTGGGATGGACATCCTGAACTCCCTCTGCAGTTGGTGGAGGGGAAGGGGTAGCTGTGTAGGGCCATTCACTTCTCCCTCTAAACTGCAGAGGGAGCCTGGACATCTCTGGCTTTCCTGAAGCTTAGGGAGTTGAATCCCACTCTAGGAGGTGCTGCCCTGCATGGGGTTTTTTTTGTGAGTCTGTTGCTGGCATCAGAACATCTGATCCTAAGTTCGTTACGTGTTGGATTGCCTCAGTGGCCCTGGGAAGGCCACTGGCTCTGGGAACAGAACAAAAGGGGGGTTGCCACGTGGGGTTAGCAAAAGGGTTTGCTGTGCCCCTTTTCTCTCTGCTCACATCTCCCACCTTTCTGCCATAGGTGGATTTGATTGACTGGGTTGATAATATGTGGCCCAGACACCTGAAGGAGAGTCAGACAGAGTCTACAAATGCTATCCTGGAGATGCAGTATCCCAAGGTGCAGAAGTAAGTGACTTCCTGAGCTGTGGCAGCCAGCAGAGCCTCCCTTGCAAGAGAACTGCCCAAGGGAGCAGCAGTTTGTACCAGGGGGAAGCAGGAGGAACAGTCTCCCTGTTTATTCTGCGGGTGACACTTGTAAGGACACTGCAGTCAGTTATTTAAACCCCGCTGGCTGTGTGGAAGGAGGGGAATCACGTGGCTTCTGGCACTGCTGTGAGCCATTGGCCTGGGTTTGAGGGGCCCATTCCCTTTGCATGTGTTATATCTGCTCCAAAACATGGATCACTGCTCATTTTCAACTTACCATCACCTTCTTTTCCACCAGGTACTGTCTGATGAGTGTCAAGGGCTGCTACACAGATTTCCATGTGGACTTTGGTGGCACTTCTGTGTGGTACCACATCCACCGAGGGGGAAAGGTAGGACACTTCCTGTTGGAACAACTGCAGGTGCTTTAGGATAGTGGATGTTAGTCTGTTCTCCTGTTAATCCTTGAGGGTGCTGATCCCAGACAGCAAATTGAGGTCTTTCCACCCAAAAGTTGTGTTACAGGCAGACAAGTGCCAATCTCTAGCTCAGTTGTAGCTCTAACATGGCAGAAATACTCAGGTAAATATCCCCTTGTCTTTAGCGCTCTGGTGTCTCTCCCGGGCCCTGTATCTCTTGACTCTGATGTAGATACTTCAAAAACATCCCAGGCTCAAGCTACCTGTGGTGCCCAGTGTGTCAGGCTGGGAAAGACCTTTTTCAGCTGCTTGCCCTCTTTAGGGGGGCATCTCTTGAGGTCATTTTAGTGGGAATTTCTCTGAGAGAGAGGAGAGGAAGAGATTCAGACATTGGGAAGAAGCAGAGGATAGTCAGTAACTGTTTATTACAAGGGAACACATTACATATGTGTGTTGTCTTTATTTGCAGATCTTCTGGCTGATCCCTCCTACACCCCAGAACCTGGAGCTCTATGAGAACTGGCTTCTCTCAGGGAAGCAGGGAGACATTTTCCTTGGGGACAGAGTGTCGGAGTGCCAGCGCATCGAGCTCAAGCAGGGCTACACCTTTGTCATCCCCTCAGGTACCACAGGGTGGGCAGGGGCATCCTGCCAGCTTACTGATTTGAGTCCTGTTATCACAAGTGACGCTTCTTTTGAACGGAGTGGCTTTGCCTTAAGGAAACCCATGCTGGAATTCCCCGAATGTTGGACTTGGCTGGATTGCTTAGCCTTGGAGATAACAGAGCGGGAAACCTGAGTTACTTTGAGGGTGTTTTAATTGTTGGAACAGACTTTGGCAGACTGTTTTCATTGGTGCTGATGTTCTTAGGCCTAACACAATTAGGAAACAATATAGAATGACACCAGGAAGACAAAAAACTACGGAAGGGGGCCACATGAGCTCGGTGTTGTATGAGTTGGGGTCTGTATGGTCCCTTTGCAGCCCCCAGCTGCTTTTTGGCCTGGCTGATGTGACAAGGGGTCAGTAGCCAGTCTTGTGCTGGAAGCTAACAGGTGAAAGGTGCAGCTGTCAGGGCAGGCTTACCTGAGTGATGTGAGGGTGGTGCAGATTTGACAGCCATGCTTGGAAGAGCAGAGTTCCTCAGAGATGGAAAAGGGCTGGAAGCTGTGAGACTTTGACGTCACCTTTTTGCTCATAAGGATTCTTCCAACTCTCCTTTCTCTCCAAGGTTGGATCCATGCTGTGTACACCCCCATGGACACGCTGGTTTTTGGGGGCAACTTCTTACACAGCTTCAACATCCCTATGCAGCTTCGGATCTACAGCATTGAAGACCGCACGCGGGTAAGGACCTGTGGGGGAGCCAGGAGCACGAGGGGTGGGGGGAAACAGCCAAGTACATGGGTGCTCTTGTTTGTTGCTTGGGGAGATGTGGGTCCTGCAGTGCCCAGCTCCTGCAGAGAAGCTTCAGGACACAGCTGGGCTGTGTTGGACACTCAGCCAAACCTCGTGTGGCGTCTCTCACTTTCTCTGGTACTCCTATTAGAAGGTCTGTGGGGGAAGAGCTGTAACTTTGACAAAGACAAATGAAATATGAATGGTTTGGCAGGCAAGTGATGCCGGGTCTGTGCCCTGCCTGTTGATAACATCCTTTTACAAGGAGAATCCCATCAGGCCCCAGAAGCAGGAATGAATGATGCTGTTCCACATGGGCACGGGTTTCCTGTCTCCAGAGGGGATGGCTCTGCTTTGAGGCAGCAGTAATAGAACTGTGAGTGCAATGGTGGTGAAGGAGGCCTGAGCAGACCCTCTTGCCTTGTTTTGCAGGTCCCAAATAAGTTTCGTTACCCCTTCTATTACGAGATGTGTTGGTACGTGCTGGAGCGTTACGTGTACTGCATCACCAGCCGCTCACACCTCACCAAGGACTTCCAGAAGGAATCGCTCAGTATGGGTAAGCCCAGCCCTTATTCCTTCCTCACCCCTATCAGACTGGTTCCTTACATCTTCCTGCTGGGGCACTGGCTCAGCAGTGTGGTAGGCTGGGTGTTCCTTTGAGGAAGGAGCCAAAACCAGCCAGACTTCTGCTTCCTCCTTCACCCCTGTGACGGCCCAGGTTCCTCAGAGCTGCAAAACCAGCACACCAGTTCCTGGCCTTGTTGGGACACACAAAGCCTGTCACACTAGAGGTGGAGGGAAGTTGCAGTGACCACCGCAGTGCTGTGGGCTCTGGGGCGGGAATGGTCTCTGGCTGATTCTGCTACATGCAGGATTTCGAGTTCTCTCAAAGTTGCTTGCAAGGGTTCAGAGACCTCACAGTCATGAGTGAGTCCACATCCTCTTTTTCCAGTCATGAAGGTAGGATTAAGGTCCTGAGTCACTCACAGGACCAAGTGGCTGGAGATCCCAAGCCCTCTGAAGCAAAATGAGGTTGGCCAGGGCTTTGAGCAACCTGATGTAGTGGAAAATGCCTGAACCCATGGGACAAGATGACCTCTATAGGTCCCTTCCCAAACTATTCTAGGACTCCATGAAATTCAGTCTAGGGTGTTGCTGTCTTTTCCTCTGGGATATTTTTCCCTATTTGGTGCCTTGCATTCCCACAAAACAAGCCAGGAATGGGAAAGAGTTTTAGCTGTTCTTTTCCAGCTGCTACGTGTCCTCTCCTTTCCCCTTGCCTTGTCCCCATATTTATCCACTGTGGCTGGGGGGATTCCTCTAGGAGGTGAATCCTGTGCTCTCACTCTTTCTCCATCGTGACAGACATGGAGCTGAGCTCCTCAGACTCAGTGAACATGGAAGAGGAGGAGGAGGAGGACGAGGAGGAGGACGCAGCAGGGAAGGAGCCCAGGCGGCCGGTCACGAGGCGGTCCATCCTCACCAGCCCCATCGCCAACGGTGCCAATGTGGACTATGATGAGCTGGGCAGGAGCTGCCGGAGCAGCCTGCCGGGCCTGAAGAAGACCCCGTCCATAGACTCTTCCGACTCCAGCCGGGGCTCCCAGAACGGCCAGGCCTGGGAGCCCAGCGGGGGCAGCCCGCGCAAGAACAGGAAGGTGCACCTGACCCAGTTCGAGCTGGAGGGGCTGCGCTGCCTCGTGGACAAGCTGGAGTCGCTCCCTCTGCACAAGAAGTGTGTTCCCACCGGCATCGAGGATGAGGATGCCCTCATCGCTGACGTCAAGGTAGGCCTCTGGCAGCCACAGGGACTGGCATTCCTGGGAGGTGCCGGGGTGCGTCCGTTTCATTGTGGTATTGGGAGTGGAAAGGCTTGACCCTGACCTGTCCTGGGGCAGGGGGAGATGTGTCTGCAGGCTCTGTGTCCTCCTCTTCCTCTGCATGAGGCTGATGTCACACCCTCGGATTTTGGGTCAGGGTAGCAGGAGCAGTGACTGCTCTCAGCCAGCATGGCCGAGACCCCTCTGTGGACCCTCTGGGCGCTGGCTGGGTCCCTCGTGGGTGTCAGTGCAAAGTGCTCCTTGGTGATACAGTTGCCTTCCAGTTCTGCCTGTGGACTCTGATGGTTGGGGCCCTGTCCTTGCCCAGGTGGATTTGGCCTTGTTTCTTTGGACTGTTTGCCTGGGGTGTGACCTGACGTTACATGAGTCAATTTTTTAAGGCCAGCGAGGGTTGTTTGGGGTTTTATTTCCCTTTGTCTACCAGACCTGTTGGGCTGACCCCGTAAGCTTTGGTGTTGTAGCCCCTTCAGCACTCAAGTGAGACCATCAGCCTTACTTTATTCCCCACAAGTGCATTTTAGTCCCTAAAACCAGTTACCTTCTTCTGCCCTGCTTGCTGATGGTGACCTGTTCAGCTGCTTGCCTGTATCAAAGCTGACATCCAGCTCTGGGGTCCCAGGGTGGGCTGTCCTGGCTGAAGGAGCAGGTGTTGGTGCTGTTAAAGGCTGCATTTCTGGTTTCCTGTGGCTTTTCAAGTATCCTGTGTGTGCTGTGACCTTAGAGTATGTGACACACGTGTTTCTGAGCCCCTGTGTGATGCTCTGAAGGAGCTCAAGCTGTGAGCACCATGTCTCACCCTTGGACTGAGAAAAGAGGGTTGGTGCTGGGCATTTTGAAGGCAGAGCAGTCAAGGTTGTTGGTGTTCAGTTGGGGTTTGAGGCCTGTTCAAAGAAATTCGTTAATGTTTTGGAGCTACTGAATCTGTGCCTCTGGTTTTGGTGTGACACCCCCCTGCATCCCTGTGTCCAGTTGTGAGCTGCAGGTGACAATCCCTGTGGTCCCAGACAGTTTCCCTGAGGATTTGCTCCTTAAAGCTGGCTGTCCTTGGAGGTTCAGAAGGATTCTGTCCCTCAGGACTGGCATCTTCTAGGAACCCCTAGGATGCTTGAGAAAGCGGGACAAGTTTGTCAGACCGCAGCAAACCTCTACTTTTCTAACTTCTGTTTTCCATAGAGGTGATGGAACTCGCCAGTACAGATTGGCTTGTAAAACCTGAAAAAGGGCTAAGACATTTCTAGCTAAATCTTTTAACTGGGGCCATCAATCTGCAGCTGGTGTTCCTGTCCTTGTGGCACCTTTATGGACCTGGGATGTGGGCAAGGAGTGTTGGGAAAAACCCCACTTTGGTCTGCGCTCCCCAGGGTCAGAATGTGGTGTTTTCTTTTGATCTGCCCCTCAGATCAGATTTCCTGCCACCTGCTGCTATCCAGAGTCCCCAGGAATGGGGTAGCAGGCATGGAGCAGGAAAATGCTACCTTGTCCCACAGCCTCTTGTATGGTGATCAGGATTTCAGGGTCTCTCTATGTTGGGTCATGTGGAAAAGTATGTATCCTGTCATGAGTTGATCCTGGAGCGTCACATGGTGGGGATGGGGCACTTTGGATGTGACAAAGATGTGCTGCCAGCTCTGTGGCAGGAGGCATTGTCTGAAAATCCTGAGCATGGTGTCGTTGGAGGGATCACTGTCAAAGAGGGAATTTCTGAGCGGTCCTGTTGTCTTTCAACCGCTCCCATCCATCCTTTCTGACCCCTCTGGGGTGTGCTGGTTTCCACCACTGGGCTTGAGAGGAGAAGGATGGTCATAAGGCCACTGAGAGCAGGTCTGACAACTAAAGCCAGAGCCCTGTGGCCTGGCATGAATGGATTATATTTGGGCTTTCCTTGAAGCTGCTGGAGCAGCAAGGATTGTAGAAACAAGGAGAGCCTGCCCAGAAATGCTGATCCTGTCTTCAGGACCTCATCTCAAAGCCTCTGATCTGGCATTGTCCGTGTACCTGGCTGGGCAATGGGACACCTGGAGGACTTGGTGAGGAATGGGGATTGTATCCTTTAGGGATGGATGGATGGATGGATGAGGAAGTTGAGGGTGGCCTGTGAGCTGTGCCAGGAAGGTCTCCCTTTCTGGGAGATGGGATGGCAGCACCGGTCACGCACAGGGCACTTGGGCCTGTGGGTCACTGGGGCCCTAGGGTGTCACTGGCAGTTCAGGTGGTGACAGTCTGGACCCAGGTTGGCCTGTGGCTGGCTTCCTCGAAACACAAAGCTGTAGTTGCCTGCAGATGCTTTGGATACATCAGGAGCGGGAGCAGCCGCTGTTTTGCTTTATTTCAGGAGTTTCCTCCATTTTAATTGCAGTGTGTAGCTGCGGGGGGGGGTCTCGGGGAGCTGGGGCTGAGTGGGGACACCTTGATCGCCCGGCACGGATCTGTCCCCCTCTAGTGGTTTGGTCCCCAGTGTGCCTTTGGGAATACGGCTGCTCCCAAACTTGGCTGGCGGGATGTTTCCCAGGGACGATTCATCCATCCGGGTCGGGAGGGTAGGGGTGCAGTCCCCGGTGGGGGCTGCGAGGGGGGCGACCCTCGCCTACATTCCAAAGCCCCGCTTACCCCACCGGGGTCTCCCAGATCCAAAACCCGCCTCGGAGCAGACAAAAGAAAAGGACCAGGGCGGCTGGGCGTGAGCGGGACGGGGTGAGGGCTCTGTGCCACGCTGTCCCCGGCCCCGGGGAGCCTGGCCCCGGCGTCTCGGATTGCGGCGGCGGAGGGAGGGAGCCCGGGGAGGCCGATGGGCAGCACCGCCCGGACCCTGCGCCAATCCCCGCCGTCCCGGCCCCTCCCGGCGCTGCAGCAGCGCGGCTCTGCCCTCCGCTCCCTCGCTCGCTTTTTCTTCTGCCATCTTCCCGTTGCAAAGCATTGCTGGGAACCGCATGTGGGTGACGCAGCAGCATTGTCTCCGGCTCAGGAAGCTGCCGCCGCCGCTGCCCGAGGGCTCGGGAGGAGCACGCGGCCGCCGGTGCGGCTGCCGGAGGCGGGGGGAGCCGGGGGCGCTCGGGGCGGGGGGCGCAGCTGCTCCCCCAGCCATGTCCCCGAACACCGGGGGTCCGGCCGGGGTCTGAGCCAGCCCCCCGGCGGTGTCCGGGGAGAGGGTGGGGGGCCCCAGCCCTCGCAGTGCGGGCACCGAAACAAAGAGGGCTCGGCAAACTTCACCCCAGAGTCTCGGCAGCTCCGGAGGCGCAAGGTCAGGCGGCTGGCAATGCTCGTGGGGAGGGGACGCGGGGACGCTCCGGTCCCAGGCAGGGTGGGAGGGGAGCGCGGGGGGACCCCCGATTCCCTGGGGGTGTCTCTGGCCGGTGCTTGGGCTCACCTCTCCCTTCTCCTTCGCCTTCCCCGGGGCGCGATCGCTGCTCCGGCCGCGGTGCTCACAGGGTCCCCTCGGCCGCGTCCCCGCGGCCACAGCGCGAGGGGGCACAGGGGACCAGGGGGCTCTCGCCCACCCCGACTCCGAGCCAGATGCAGCCGCAGGACCCGGGAGTCCCCCCAGCCTCTCGGCTCCCCGGCTGGAAACGTGGGTGAGCCGCCACCACCCCCGCGGAGCCCCGGGCGGGGGGGACGCCGCGGTTCGGTGCCCACGCGGATGTCCGTGTGCGAGCCCCCCGGCCCTGACCTTTCCTCGCGGCATGTGCTCCCGGGGAGGCGGAAGGTCTGGAGGTGGCACGCTGCGCTGCCGGGCAGCCGAGGCGAGGCTGCGGCTTCCTGCCTCCCGAGACACCCGGAAAAACCGCGTGGGGGGCACGCCGGGCACCCCCTGCCCTGGCCCTGGCTGGCAGCGGGAAGCACCGCCCGCCGGGATGCCGGCAGGAGGCTCCTGCCTGCGTAGCCATGGCAACGTCAAGTAAATAAAGCACCTTTGCGACGGGCAGATTCGGTGGGGAGGGGGCTGCGCTGGGGGGGCAAGGGGGCCGGAAGGACCAGGGTGAGTGTGGGAGCCCCCGTCCAGCGGGAGCGAGGGGCTGTCGCGCCATAGGGCAGCGTGCCAGTCCGGTCGGTGCCGAGGGATCTCTCCATCAAAGTCACAGCCAAACCCCGAGGCAGTGCGGGGGAGCAGCTCTCGGCTACCCGGCAGCTTGTGCCAGGCCACGGAGGGGGTGCTGGGGCACCACATCCTGCTGCTGCTGCTGCACCCTCCAGCTGCCCTGTGCCGGGGGAGCAGATTGGGGGGGGGGGGTGATCCTGATGAATCCTCCCCCATAAATCCCCCCCAGATTGCCGAATCTTGGCGCTCTCCCCCTACCACCGCCCAGCGCGGGGCCTCGGGGCTGAAATGCAGTTGATGAAAGCGCTGGTGCAGATCGACTCGACAGAGCTTGTCTGTCTCATGTGGGGAGGAGGGATGGTTGCTGGCGGGCGTGGGGAGAGGAGGGCTCCTTCCCAGCCGCCTTTGAAGCGTGCTGGCCTTGGCATCTGCTCGGAGCCTGCCTCGCTGGCGGGAGCCGTGTTTCCCTCTGCTCACACCTGTGTTTTTTGTCTCTCTGCTGTGTTTTCCCCCACTCCTCTCTCCCCATTAGCTGCTGTTGGAAGAATACGCAAACAGCGACCCAAAACTGGCACTTACAGGCGTCCCCATCGTCCAGTGGCCCAAGAGAGATAAGGTAAGAGCTGCGAGGAGGGGACCTGGGTGGGTGTCACGTGGGGCTGAGTCGCTGCCCGGGACTGGGGTGTGGTGGCACTGCTTCCATACCCGCCTCTGGAGCAGTGCCAAGGTGGGATGTGGGGTGCAACCACCTCCACAGCACCGCGGGCAAACCCATTTGCTGGCAGAATGGAGTTCTCCCACCATGCCGGTTATCCCAGCTCGGCTGACGGGTGGTAACTGGATCAGCTGCTCCATGTTCTCCAGCCCTTTGGTCCTGCTCAGAGAACATGGAGCCTGGCTGTTGGAGGAAGGGGTGGTCTGAGGAGTGTTGTGTGTTGGGGAGGGTCTCACTGTTGTGATGTGAGGTGTGGGCTTGAAGGCCGCCATCAGCCCAGCCCCTCGCTGCAAGCTGAGCGTGTCCCTTGTGTCCCTGTCCCTGCTGGCACACTGCTGTAGTCTTGGCTCTTACAGCCCCAAGGGAGGCAGCTCCCTGCAGATAGCAGCCAGCTCCTCAGCAGTGGGACCTTTCCATGCATCTCTGCCCTTCCCTCTCCAGCTGTGCTCATGACCCAGGGCCCATAGCTGGGCCACAGCCCATGCTGAGCTTGCTGGGCAGAGGGAGGCACGGAGCAACCGGACTTCCCCTCTGCAGGCTGCCTTCCTGTGGCCTGCCAGGTTGGCTCCCCGAGGTCACTGCTTCCTTCCTGCCAGGAGACGGGCTCACAGGCAGGCTGTGGGAAGAGCGGGACCCCATCACTCTGGGGAGGGTGGGTAACACCCCGTTTGGGAGTCTGGAGACAAACAGGCCTCTCGAATTGCCCTTTGGAGGTGCCTGTCTCTGCTTGCCCGCCCTGCCCAAGGAGATCCAGCATGGTTTGCTGGTCCTTGTGCAGCACAAGCATCTCAGGCAGCTTTCTTGGGAGAAGAGACCTGGAGACATCTGTATGCTTTGGGTGCAGCACTCAGATGCTTGGCACATCCCCAACCCCATCCTTTAGGAGCCTGCCCTTCCCCAGGCCCCTCAGCTGTGGTGGGCACCCTACCAGGGCTGATCCCAGAAGGATGCTGCAGCCAGCAGATTTCCTGTGAGGGCTGATGGGATGCAGGGTGACAAATGTCAGCTGAAGAGCTGTGCTGTCCCACCTGTACTGTTAACGGGGCTGTGGGTGTTCCCAGTGTGCCTGGAGCTGAGCCCTGTCCTGTGCAGAGCTGGCAGGTGACCAGGGTTACAGAGAGGAGTTACAGAGTATTCTGAGTTGGAAGAGACCCACAAGAATCATTAAGTGGCACACGGAGAGGTGTGCCCAGGTGGACCTTGTCATTCCTTGCCTCAGAAGGAAAGAGTGGATGTTGTTGGAACACTGTGGTGCTTTTGGGACTCGTCACCCCTTTTCAGCCCTATTATTGAGTCCTAATGATGGGTGGGAGGAAGGGGAGCTCTTGGTGTGAGGTGATGGAGTGTCCTCAGGGAGAACTGCTGGGGAAGCACCAATCCAGGCTCCTCTGGCTGCAGAGCAGTGAGAGAGCAGAGCTGTTCTCCAGCACAGTATCCGAGGTCACAGTGCCGCATCCAGGGACCAGAGCCTTTCAGACCTCAGCAGAAGGCAGCGCTTTGCTCCTCTCACCCCATTCCCATCTCTCTCTGTTGGCAGCTGAAGCTCCAGGCCCGGCTGCGGGTGCGCCTGCCCACCATCCCCATCACCAAGCCGCACACCATGAAGCCGACCCCGCGCCCGACGCCCGTCAGGCCCACGGTGTCCCCCATCGTGTCGGGCGCCAGGCGGCGGCGGGTGCGGTGCCGGAAATGCAAGGCTTGCATGCAGGGCGAGTGTGGCATGTGCCACTACTGCAGGGACATGAAGAAGTTCGGCGGGCCCGGCCGCATGAAGCAGTCCTGCGTCCTCCGGCAGTGCTTAGCGGTGAGTCTGTGGCCTCAGCCTTCCCCTCAGAGCCTCCCGCAGTCAGGCAGTGGCTCTGTGTGGCCTAGCAGGGCCATAAACTAAAACGCAAGAACTTTCCCATGAAGGTGGCAGAGCAGTGAAACAGCTGCCCAGGGAGGGCATGGAGTCTCCCTCTCTGGAGACATTCAAAACCCACCTGTGTCACCTGCTCTAGGTGAGAGGTTTGGACTAAGTGCTCTTCAGAGGTCCCTTCCAACCCTAACAATTCTGTGATTCTGTGACAGAGGAGGGCAATTGCCCAAGTTTGATTCCTGGGGCATAGCTGGCCCCTTCCCCATGGTTCAGGTAGCGGGGAAGGAAAGGGGGAAGGTTGTCCTACCTTGCCCTGGTTTCACCCCTGCTTTCCTTTGTAGCCCAGGCTGCCTCACTCGGTCACGTGTGCACTTTGTGGTGAGGTGGATCAGAACGAGGACTCACAGGACTTTGAGAAGAAGCTCATGGAGTGCTGTATCTGCAATGAGATCGTTCACCCTGGCTGTCTGCAGGTGAGCAGGGCAGGTGCTGGGCGCAGGGCAGGCTTGGTTCAGGGGCAGGGCCGCTGCTGACCCTCCGCTTTTCTTTGCAGATGGATGGGGAGGGGCTGCTCAACGATGAGCTTCCCAACTGCTGGGAGTGCCCCAAATGCTACCAGGGTGATGACACAGAGAAGGGCCAGGTAAGGAGCAGAATGCGTGTCCTCCATCCCACTGCATCCTGCCAGGGATGTGTTCAGCCAGGGTGGGCTGGAGGGATGAGTTGGGCAATGACCAGTGAGAGTGAGGATTGGGGGGGTGCAGCGCTTGGGAGCCTGCCCACATCTTGCTGCAATCCTATCCTGGCATCCCACAGGGGCGAGTCCCCCAGTACTGTGCTCCCACTGATGCTGAGCTGTGATCCTGAGAGATTCCACTGCAAGACACACTGGGCTGTTGGGCATGTAGTGGAAGCCACCTCCAACCTCAGGGGACATCCCTTTTGTCAAGGCGGAATAAGAACCACTGGTTCCTGGTGTGGGTGGGCTCTGGTCCTGGTGACACTTAAATGAGCTGTTAGGAAGAAATTCTTGACCCAGAGGGTGGAGAAGCCCTAGAACATGTTGCCCAGAGCAGCTGTGGCTGCCCCATCCCTGGCAGTGTTAGACGGGGCTTGGAGCAACCTGGGCTAGTGGAAGGTGTCTCTGCCCATGGCAGGGGTGTGGAACAAGATGATCTTTAAGGCTGCTTCCAGCCCAAACCATTCTGTGATTCTACTGGGCACTGCTGGTGCAGGCACTGCCAGCAGTGTGTTGTTTCCCTGGGAAAGAGGAAAGGGGGAAAACATTCCCCAGGCCCTCCACAGCTCTGTCCCTGCTAACCCCCTTCCCCGCAGAAGCGGAAGGTGGAGGAGAGCGACGACGACACGGCACAAGCCAAGGTGCTGCGGCCCCTGCGGAGCTGCGAGGAGCCCCTGACTCCCCCTCCCAACTCTCCCACCCCGATGCTGCAGCTGATCCACGACCCGGCGTCCCCGCGGGGCGTGGTGACGCGCTCGTCCCCCGGCGCCGGCCCCAGCGACCACCACAGCGCCAGCCGGGACGAGCGCTTCAAGCGGCGGCAGCTGCTGCGGCTGCAGGCCACGGAGAGAACCATGGTGCGGGAGAAGGAGAACAACCCCAGCGGCAAGAAGGAGCTGTCGGAGGTGGAGAAGGCCAAGCTGCACGGCTCCTACCTCACCGTGACGCTCCAGCGCCCCACCAAAGACGTCCACGGCACCTCGATCGTCCCCAAGCTCCAAGCCATCACGGCCTCCTCCGCCAACCTGCAGCACTCGCCCCGCGTGGTCGTGCGCCACGCGCCCGCCAGGATGCCCCTGCGGAGCGGGGGCGAGGAGGAGGCGGCCGGCGAGGAGGAGGACGAGGAAGAGGAGGAGGAGGACGAGAACGCGGAGGAGGGGGGGGCGGCCCGGCTGAACGGCCGCGGGGGCCGAGCGCAGGAGGACGAGGAGAGCTGCATGCAGAGGGAGGTCTGGATGTCCGTCTTCCGCTACCTCACCCGCAGGGAGCTCTGCGAGTGCATGCGGGTGTGCAAGACCTGGTACAAGTGGTGAGTGTGGGGACAAGAGGGTGGGCTGAGGGGATGTGCTTGGTGGGCAGCCAGAGGGGAGGGGTCTCACCTCGGTGCCCTCCCTTCGCTCCCCGGAGCCAGGCAGCATTGCCCTTGGACCCGTGTGCACTGGTCCTTACTGTCCCCTCTAGGAGATGTGAGCATCTGTGTCCCCCACTGTGTCCTTGTGAGGTGCCAGTGTCATTTCCTCACCCACTACCCTGATGGTCCTTGCCCTTTCTGGCCTCCTGTGCTGCCAGCAGGCAGGGAAAGCGTGGAAGGCAGGCTGAGGCAGGGTGGGTTTGCTGAGTCAGGATGGCTTGCTGGCTGGAAGAGCCTCAGGGGCAGCAGGCCCAAAGACAATGCTGGCACTGGAACAGCTGTGCATGGTGGAGGGCTTGGGAACAGACGGGAATGGAAGCTGGGAGGTTTCTAACCACCGAGCAGCAGGGATGGCATGATGGGAAAGGACTGGCCTGCTTTGATCGGTGGCCGATGGGAAGGGTATGGTGTGATGGCTGGAGGACATTGTCCCCTCGCCTGTACCATCAGGGGCTCAGCTGAGCTGCCATCAGGCCCAGGTCTCCACAGAATCCCATGGGAGAGGAGGAGTTTGTGCCACCTCTGGGCTCTGCCACAGCTCCCAGCGAAGCAGTGAGCGGTGCTGAAGCTGTGGGGTGGAACCGGGAGGAGTGTTTTGTCTGCTGGGAGCAAGTATCCTTAGAATCTTTGCCCTGGCAGGAGGAGCACCTGGAGGGGACAAACAGATCAGCAGCTGTGACTCTGAGTCTTGTTTTGTGGTAGCAAAACTAGCTCTGCTGAATCTGGTCCGGGTGGCCCTGGGTGGCCAGACACCCTCAGCAACCTCCCATGTTTGGGGAGACCTATGGAAACCAGGAGGAGAGCCTTGTTCTGTGGCTGGGGCCATGCCAGGGCTGGGCTCCTCCCTCAAGCCAGGCAACCCACTGGCTGTCCCTTATCCCGTGGGGCTCAACTTTCAGCCTTGTCCTTGTCCCCAGGTGCTGTGACAAGAGATTGTGGACAAAGATAGACTTGAGCAGGTGCAAGTCCATCACCCCCCAGGCGCTGAGCGGCATCATCAAAAGGCAGCCGGTCAGCCTCGACCTCAGCTGGACCAACATCTCCAAAAAACAGCTTACGTGGCTCGTCAACAGGCTGCCAGGTGAGCACGGGCTGGGGAGGGGTCTCTGCCTCTGCCACCAGCCTGCTCCAAGGCTTCCTGAGGACTGGAGCACAGCGAGGCATGCTCTGCACCCCGGTACCTGCCAGCTTGGCAACTCCTGGGGTGCCTGGATCTCACCCCCAGCGAACGTCCCACCCCAGGCAGGGAGGGGACCTGTTTCCTCATGTGCCTGGAAAAAGGCTGAGATCTGGGATGCCTCGGAGCTGACCAAACCCGTCTGACTCGTTACCTCTCTCCCTCCTACCAGGCCTGAAAGACCTCATCCTAGCGGGCTGTTCCTGGTCTGCGGTCTGTGCTCTCAGTACCTCCAGCTGCCCCCTTCTCAGGACCCTCGATCTTCGGTGGGCAGTAGGAATCAAGGACCCTCAGATCCGGGACTTACTCACGCCTCCAACAGACAAACCCAGTAAGCTGCTGCCCCCAGGCAGGGCTGGAGAGATGGTCGCTCAGGAGGGTCCCTGGGGGTTGTGGGGAGATGGAAGGGGGTGACGTTCCGGGTGCAGAGCAGGGAGGTGATGATGGATCCAGAGTGCCCCAGGGCAGTTTGTCCACGCTGAGCTCCTCCTCTCCCTTCGCAGGTCAGGACAATCGCAGCAAACTCCGCAACATGATCGACTTCCGGCTCGCCGGCCTGGACATCACCGACGCCACGCTGCGCCTGATCATCCGCCATATGCCCCTGCTGTCCCGCCTCGACCTCAGCCACTGCAACCACCTCACGGACCAGTCGGCCAACCTCCTCACCGCCGTGGGCTCCTCCACACGCAACTCCCTCACCGAGCTCAACATGGCAGGTGGGTGCGCTGCTCCAGCTGTCCTGCGGCACCTTCCTCCTCCCAGCCCCACATGGGAGCGTGGTGCTGCCTTCCTGGAGCTGCTCCCCCTCACTCCGGCCCTCCTTTCCCTGCAGGCTGCAATAAGCTGACGGACCAGGCCTTGCTGTACCTGCGCCGCATCTCCAACGTCACCCTAATCGACCTGCGAGGTTGCAAACAGATCACCCGCAAAGCCTGTGAGCACTTCATCTCGGACCTGTCCATCAACAGCCTCTACTGCCTGTCCGATGAGAAGCTGATCCAAAAAATCAGCTAGAGACCCTCCCCGGGGCAGACTGAGGAGAAGGAAAAGAGCCCATCCCACCCCTCTCGGAGAACCGCTCCACCTCCCCACCTTGCCCTCCGTGTCCTGCCGCTGCCTCCCACCTGACTTGGCAGGCAGGGCCGCTGCTCCACTGTCCTTCCTCCTCCTCCTTCCCCGGGACTTCTGCCGAGGAAGATGTCCCGCCAGACTGGCCAGTACCAGAGGAAGAACGGGCACATGGAAGGGAGCCTCAGGCCAGAGGCTGGCCGCTCCCGGGGTGGAGCTCGTAACAGAGGTCTCTGTGCAGAGAAATGGGGCACCCTCTTCCCCCAGCTTTTCCCCTTCCTCCCCGTCGTCTCCTTGCCTTGAAACACTTGTCACTTCCCCGGTAGCACAAAGCTTAAGGGTCAAGGTCTCTCCAAGGAAGCGGGAGCAGAGGCAGAACATCCCCTACCCCTCTGTGCCACCACCAGCTCGGTGCTTGCCCTGCCCTCTCATGCCCTTTCTCTTGCCCTCCTCCGGCTGCAGGGACTGTGATACATCCCCCTCCTTCTCCCACCGCTCCCACACGCCCGGGCGGCTCTCTGGGGGCCGAGGGCAGGAGCCTGTGGCCGGGGTGTCACCAGGAGCAGGGGCTGGGAGAGCCCGGGGAGGCGAGGCTGGGGGATAACTCACTTCCACTCTGGGACAGCATCAGCCTTCCCCGAGCGCCGCCTGTCCAAGGGGATGGAGCAGGGGAGAACCCACAGGTACACCAGAGCTCAGGGAGGACTCGGGAAGCATCAGCCAGGGGTGAGGGAGCACGTGGGGGACAGGAGCTGCCTCCTCTTCCTCCCCAGCTCTCGGCACCGTGAAGCACTCTGGGGCCGGAGGGGTGAGGGCTTTTCCATGGCCTGGGACCGAACTGGCACGGCCACCCCCCTGCATTGTCTTCTCCTTCCCCCACCCCCTTTTCGCTGCCGATTTTCCTTTGCAATGAATGGTTGGTCCAAAGAACCTCTCTCTAGGGCAGCAGAGAGCTTTTTGCACTTTAAAAAAAACAACAAAAAAACAACAAAAAAAAAACAAAACAAAACAAAAAAAAGACAACAAAAAAAAAAAAAAAAGAAAGAAAAAAAAGAAAGGAAAAAAGGTTGGAATCTTCTTTTTCTGGGTTACTATTTTATTTCCCTCCCTGTCCTGCCTGTGCCCGGACGCTCCCCAACTCTCTCCCCACCCCGTGTCAGCACCCCGCTCTCTCCCTGGCAGCGTACAGATAGCACAATCCGGGGTGTCCCCTCTGTGCCACCTGTCCCCAGCCCCGCAGGGAGATGTG